GGATCAGAGGAAGGGTTGATGATGTTGTCAATGTTAGTGGACACAGATTATCCACAGCTGAGATTGAAGCAGCCTTGATTGAGGATTACTCTGTGATTCTTTTTTTCTTTGATCAAAAAAATTCCCAAAGACTTTCGAACGACAAAAGTGTTGCTTGTAATTGTGTGACTGGGTTCATAAACTAGCTATTGCAAGGACTATAATACATAGATTTGTACACAAGTATTTTTAAATCTCTGTGCAGACACGAAACAGATTCTAAGTGTTGATATTGTGAGTGGCACTCAAAGACTGAACATTTTTGCTGCAAAATAACCCAGAGACGGTGCCTCCTTTCTCAAAAGCGTGCTCATAGGGGAGGTGTAACTAGTTTGGTTTCCATCCCATGACTCCAAATACTCGTCAATGCCAATGATCCGCCCAATTTCCAGCATAGGTGAATCGCCATCAAAAAGGGGAATAGGTGTGCCCAGAGTTTGTTGTCCATTGTTGCCTGCCGCGATTTCAGATGAATCTAGAATACTTATCGTGCCAGTCATTGTGTTGATTCCTAACAAACGTTCCAGAAGTACATGAATACTTTTTTCTAGATTGATCTCACAGGAGTGATGCGTAACAGACGGTTTGTCTGTTTCCGTATTGTTGATGGCAGGTTTACTGCCACCGTAATCATCCTCTATACCGAAGCTTTGCAAAATATCGGAGGAATGTATTGTTGCTTCAAAAAACGGGAGTTCTATGCCAAATTTCTTCAGTGCTATATCTCTTAGGATATAAGTCTTTGCAAGCATTGGGTCAAATCGGGAATGGCCTGTTTCTGCCATGGTGGGGGGTTTGCCTGAGGAAACCTCATTTCCGGGATCCAAACCAGGAGCCAATTCCTGACATACTACAGCTCCTCTACTAGGAGTCTTGAGATTAGTCAATTCCAGAACACTGGAACTATCTCCCATGTCCATCTGCTGTAACTGAGAGCTGGAAACGACAACATTCTCTATCTGTTGTCTGAGTTGAATTGTTGGACTCGCACGAAAGCACGATAGTTTGGTGTCAAAAGAGGTTGACGTTGTTAGTTCCATAGTTTGGCTAGTCATTTTAGATGGGCAATTCACTCTCGAGCTGGATAAAGCATATTCAGGACTTATTTACAAACGTTGTCTTGTGAATCACCTTTGGTAGTCGAGTCGTATGCTCAAGATTGCTGCTGGGGTGGGTATAAGCCGACAACAAAAACTCAGCACATCAATATTGTACAATGTTTCCACAATTAAGAGATGGTGCTGTGTGTGTGTGTGTGTGTGTGTGTATGTATGGGATTATATTGATGATACCAGTCCTGGTAGAAAGTAGAGATGTCAGTGACATAGAGGGTCTTGTTTCGCTACCACGTACCCATTCCATCTTTCACGCGTCTTGTTACTCTCACTGTTTTCATGAAAAACTCACAATTACATACAAACAAACAAACAAACACAACAAACACAACAAACACAACAAACACAACAAAGGGGCCGTATCAGACATACGAATTCATATTAATTAAAGTATACCATACTACCGATGTCACTAATACGGAAAAGGGTGCGTAACTTTGTCCAAGCTGAATCACCAACTATCACGAAAATGCATACTAATCTATCTCCTATATCTAGCAGCTCGCAATCAATGAAAATAATCATGAAGATGATACTCCCCAAATTAAACGACAGGCAACCGCAATTACCACCAACACCANACCACCACCACCACCACTACCACCACAAGCTTGATTGCTAAACTATACAGCACACGTGGGGCTCCTACTATCAACATCCAAAACCAACACACTGTGTCGCTAGGACGAAGCAAAGCGTGTGATGTGCAATTACAAGGAGCTGACGTTTCCTCCAAACATTGTCAATTGGATCGAATCACTTCAGAAAGTCAAGATAAGACACGCGAGTATTTACAGTTGATTGACTTGAGTTCGAATGGGGTCTACATAAATGGCGACAAAATGGATCGAAATTCCAGTGTCATTTTGAAAACTGGGGATAAGTTACAATTTGCCAAAACTGGTGGCACTTACGTATTTCGGTACGCTTTTGATCTCACCAATGAATCATCCCAGCCTCCGGTGGACACGGTACTGACATCGAATATTCACGGAGGAAACAGTAGTGGCCCAGGCGTGTTGGGAGTCTTTGGAAAATCATTTAAAAACTCCTTTTTTGATGATTACATTCTAGGCAAGCAATTAGGTACTGGCCACTATGCCATTGTCCGCGAGGCCAAAAACAAACAAACGGGGCAGATTGTAGCGGTAAAGATTTTCCACCCTAATAGGACAAACTCGGCAGCACAAGATGCTAAATTGCAACAAGAAATGAATTTGCTTCTTTCCATCAACCACCCAAACATTGTCCTGTTCGTGGGACATTATATTGAACCAAATAGTAAACACTCGGTAAATACGTACTTGGTATTGGAGAAAGTCAACAATGGTGAGTTGTTTCAACGCATTGTTAATAAACAAAGACTACGAAGTGACGAAACTAGAGCCATATTTAAACAATTATTGAGTGGATTGAAATATCTACACGACAACAATATAATTCATCGTGACATCAAGCCGGAAAACATCTTGTTGGACATAACACGCAGAGGAAATGCAGATGCAGACGCAATCACACACACCAATCAGCAAACTGGACCTTGGGATCCTGATGAACTCGATGTACGCGTCAAAATTGCTGATTTTGGGTTGGCAAAATTTATTGGCGAGTTGAAGTTTACAAACACATTGTGCGGTACGCCTGCTTATGTTGCTCCCGAGATTTTGAAACACGATCGAAATTATTCAACCAAGGTAGATCTCTGGTCAAGTGGTGTGTTATTATACGTATGTTTGAGTGGGTTTCCTCCGTTTAGCGATGAATTGGCTCCACCAAATATGAAGGAACAAATATTGACGGGTAAATATGCCTTTTATTCTCCTTATTTCGATGAAATCGATGACGTTGTTTTGGACTTGATTACAAATTTGTTGAAAGTCGATCCAGAAGAAAGGTATAGTGTTGAAGAAGCGTTGAATCATGAGTGGTTTCAAGACTAAAGTGTTTTAAAAAACATCGATTTATTTCACAAGAATTGCTGTAGTAACTCAAACTCGTACTTCCTGCCTTGGAAAAACGACCTTAATAATGAGTCATTGACTTGAAAACTCTCCCTCATCGAATCAGGTACTGCTTTTTTGTTCCTCTTGACGTCATTCACTTTCTGCCGCAACTCCTTCAAGTTGGACAACACTTTATCAGCCAGTCTCCATTGTTTCATCTTTACAAAACAATCAAATTGACCAATCAAACACAACAAGTCTTTGTTTGCCTCAACTCCCAACTTGAACCACTCAATGGCAAGATCATAATTCTGAAACTTGTTCATTTCCAAAAAACCCAAACTGGCAAAACTTTCTAGCAAAGACTTCAGAGCACTTATCTCCATGAAATATTTGGCAATCTTGGGGTCCTTCTCAAGATACAATTGTCCCAAGTAATAATGGGCCTTGGTTGAGTATAAATCCAAATCTGTCAATTGAATACATTTGTGGAAATATTGTTTTGCCTTTGCCAAATCTTGTACAGGTGGCGGTTGCGAGAAATAGTAATATCCCAAACTGTAATACACATGACCAGCTTGGATAGTGTCATTTTCCAACTGTAAAAATTGCTGCCAATAATCTACTGCTGTCGCATAGGCTTTCTTTTCAAATGCTAAATCGCCCGCCATCTTGAAGACAAGTGGATGTTTCAACTCTGTCAACTGTTTGATAAGCTTGCGAGCGTGTGCTAGATCTTCTTTAGCAGCTTTATCAACAATGATTCCACCACGCGTGTGTTCACGCACCTTTTCATAAGCAAGCATGGTTATAGCATCCAAATCACCTCTTTCTGCAGCTTGTTCAACCAATTCATTCTCCAAATCAAGCAAATTTTTATTCACTGATTGTGTGACCGATCTGATACTAGTCAACACTTTTCGAAACACC